CTGACGCACTGAGCTGCACCGAGCAGTGAATGATGCTCAGTTGGGGTGAGGGCTTGAGCTGCCTATTCCCCCTCCTGCCAGAAAAGCAGCCTGGATCCCCTGCCGGCACTGCCCTGGCGGCACCGCGCTGCTCTGGCCAGCGCTGGTCAAGAGCCACCCATAAGGAAATGATTACGGCTCAGCGCTCCGGCAGCTGGCTGGAATTTCTCCCCATAAGCCCCATCCTTCGGCATGGAAAGAGGCCACTCAGCAGCAGTGAGCCCGGCCGGAGCGATGGGCAAAGCTCTGGGACTGGCAGCAGCCCTGGCCCAGGCAGGCTGTGTCCTGACAGGGGTTGGGGACAGGCAATAGGGAGCCCCCCCCAGCACCCCAAGCGGTCAGCGGGCTGGGGAAGCCACCACTCGCCCATCCTAAAGGGCTGGCTGTTAAAATTAACCCGCCGTGACCGGGTTTGGAAAGCTCTTTCCCGGGAATGACAAGAATGTCTTTATCCTGGCCAAAGCAGTGCCGGTGTGGGGCTGTTCAGGGAACCCACTGCCAGAGCCCAGCTCTGCTGTAAACAGGCCAGGAGCCATAAAACTCCACGAATTCCTCCACCCCCCTTCCCCAGGATCAGGTGAGGGCCTGAAATGCACCGGGGATGCAAGAGCAACCCCCCCGAACCACAGCAGCCCGGCACGTGCTGGTGGTGATGGTCCCTTGGCGCCGTGGGACGGGGTGAAGGCAGCGCCGGCGGCTGCTCTGGGCCAGGAAAATGCCTGTCACCACACTGTGGTTTCATGACCATGGCCTGGAAGAATTTTGGCAGTGTTTTTTTTTCCTGCTGGGAAGAGGAGCAGGCGGAGAAGCCCTGCTTGCTGGCGAGCCAACGTGGCAGGACTGGGCCAGCCTGGGGCTTGGGGTCGACCAAGATGCTCCATGCCATCCCCTCCCCTTGTGGGTTGTTGGCGCTCCTTGGGGCTGGATCCACAAGGATGGGGAGCCCAGCTACCAGGAACAGCCTGCTCTGCATTGCTTGTTTATTTTATTGGGGGGAGCTTAATGTAGGAACAAAGAATTGAATCCGGCGTTGGGTGTGATGGGGGTCTCCAGTGCCCCCTGTGCCCCCGGTGCCGGCTGGGAGCTAAGGCTGCGCTGCCATTCGTGCCAAGAGCCGGGGGCTCGGGGAGGGTGCGTGGATGCAGGGAGGGGACTGAGTGCCATGCACAGGAGTGTGAGTCCCCGGGTGAGATGCTGCCGGCAGCGTCTGGCGCAGCCTCGGAACCGGAGGGTGGAAGCCAGGGTGGCGAGAGGTGGCCGGCAGCCCTGCATGCTTGCTTTCCAGGGCAGGAGGCCAGGGGTTGCTCCCGTCTTCCCTTTCCCTCTGGTCCCGCTGGCAGGAGGCTGGGCGCTCAGCTGACAGTCACGGGGAAGGCATTAGCAAAGCAAAGGGGAGTTTCCTCTCCCTATTGCAAGAGAAGATGAGGTGCTTTCCCCTGGCCCTCTCCTCCTGCAACCCTTCCCCATGTCCCTGCATCGCCCAAGGGAGAAGCCAGGCACAGCCTGGGGGTCCCCCACCACCCGCACACACAGCAGGGAGGAAAACCATCCCTGTGCTGAGTGCTCACCCATCTCCCTCTGCCATTAAACCCACCACATCCTCTGGTGGCCAGCAACCGGTGTCCCTGTCCCCTGGTCTGTATCCCATGGTCCCTGCCCCAGCAACTGTGCACACCCGTGGCTGCTGTGGGGGTGCTCAGAGGACCACCCGCCGGTCCAGCTGCTCTGCCCGCCCAGCTCGCTGGTGCCGCGCTTCCAGGTGCTTGTTTTGGACCTTCTCAAAGTGCTGCAGCAGCTCCGTGTAGTCGATGTTGGAGGCTGTTGTCCTCTTGAAGCTGGCGCTTGGTTTGGTGCTGTCCCTGTGGGGAGGGAGCAGAGAGTGAGGGCAGGAAGGGGCAGATGCCCATACCCCGGCAATCCATCACAGGCAGCACCAAGGGCTTGTCCTGAAGAAGGCAAGCCCAGCACACCCTAGTGATGCTGGTGCCCCATGAAACACCCCCGAAGCCCTGTTTCTACCCCCCCGCAAAGGCATAAGACAGAGCCCAAGAAGTCCTGGGATAGGAGAGAGGGGATAAGGGACATCTGCCTCAGCACCTTGGCCCCACAGGGTAGGTTTAACCCCTCTGACATGGATGCTCCCCCCGTCCCAACCCATTCCAGCCAAAAGCAGCGAGACTGGCCAGAAAGGATGCCAGTGCCACGTGCCTCAGTTTCCCTGCCTGGTTTTAGGAGCAAGCAAAAAATATCTGTGTGCTTTGGCATGAAGGAAGACTGGTGGCAGTGGGGACAGCCCCGGGGGATGAGCACCTGTGGCTGGAGCCCCGGTTGTTCATCCCTCAGAGCTGTCGCCAGGCAAGGGAGGGAGGGATCAGCAATGGGAAGCCTCTCGGGGAACATGGGGGAGCCCACGGGAGGATGGCAGGCGGCTCTCAAGGCCCTGGCATCCCCCTGGGGAGGGGGCAGCCGGGGCTGTCCTGTTATGAAAGCCGGCTTCGGTGTTTGAAGGAATGTAGGTCAGAGTTAATCAGATGCTCACGCCGTCTGACAGCTCTGGTTGCTCGAAAAAACCCCGCTGCCAGGGCCAAGGCGGGGCAAAAAAAGGGGGGAAGGAAGCTCATGCAGCCCCCCATCCGCCCCCCCAATTAAAATCAGTGCCGGTTTGTGGGTACGAGCTCAGTGCCGGAGGCCACAAAGGATAAAAGCCAGCTCAAGGGAGCTGTTAAAAGCCAAGGAGTGCTGGCAGCGGGGGGTTAATTCAGAAACCTGCCCATCTTGGGAGCTCTTCTTTTTGTTCCCAGGGCTTTGCAAAGGCAGACCCAGCTTTAACATCGACCCTCCCTGCTCATTAGCTGAAGGGTTGGAGAGCAAATCCCACCACCGGCGTCTAACGAGCTGGGCGGGCAGCACCCCTGGGCAGGGAGCAAGAGGATTTCAGCTGGTCCCCAGGGAGATGCCACCCTTGCACATCACTGCTCATGGCTCCCCAAAGGCCAGGGGTGGGGATAGAGAAGCAAGCCCCAAGCATGGGTGACGGGATCCCCAGCTGTCTGGGCTGGGGGGGGATGCTTTGGGAGCACCCC